GGAAAATGCTTTACTCTGGCTCTCCCTTCGTTATCATCAGAAAGTTCACATTGGAGAAAGGCCTTATGAGTGTAATGAATGTGAGAAGTCATTTATCTCTAGCTCCGCCCTCCGCTGTCATCTGAGAGTTCACACAGGAGAAAGGCCTTTTGACTGCAATGAATGTGGGAAATCTTTTAGGGATAGTTCCCAGTTGAATCAACACCAGAGGGTTCACACGGGAGAAAACCTTACGAATGTACTGACTGTGGGAGAACCTTTAGCCAGAATTCGTACCTCTCTAAACACAGGAGAATTCACACTGGAGAAAGGCCTTATGAGTGCAGTGAATGTAGGAAGTCTTTTACTTCTGTCTCTGCCCTTGGATATCATCAGAGAGTTCACACAGGAGAAAGGCCTTACAAGTGCAATGAATGTGAGATGAGTTTTACAAATAGCTCCATACTCATTCGACACCGTAGAGTTCACACAGGAGAAAAGCCTCATGAGTGCAGTCAATGTGGGAAATCCTTTACCCAAAGAATTCACCTCATTATTCACCAGAGATCTCACACAGGAGAAAGGCCTTACGAATGCAGCGAGTGTGGGAAATCTTTTACTTCTCGTTCCACCCTCCAATATCATCAGAGAGTTCACACGGGAGAACGGCCTTTTGATTGCATTGCATGTGGCAAATTTTTTAGCCGAAAATCTAACCTCGCTCAGCACATGAGAGTTCACACTGGGGGAAGGCCTTAGATGTGTAGGCCTTCCAAGGTGGTTTTGTTTGTTTGCTTGTGTTTTTTGTTTTCAGTGTTAGTAACACTGGAGGAAACACTGAGGTTCCGTTTGTCTGAATTTAATTTCAGGCATAAAACATCAACAGTAGGGAGGTTCCCCATAAGTTTTAGTTATGTGGGAAGCATATGTGTCTGCGTTGCACTTTCTGATCTACACACGTCTCCTGCCAGATTTATGTCACTACAGATGTCTCTGGTCGAAGCTGTTTCACCGATAACATCTGGAAGATTCCCACAGTTTGCATCAGTCACCAGACTCATGTGCTCAGGGCAGCTTACTCTGTTTCTTGGTTTGTTGGAGGAAATTAGAAATGGCCTGAGCACTTAGGGGATCTGCATTCTGTTCACTCTGAATAGTTGGGGAATGGACCTGACTCGGTGATAACCCAGAGAACGTCATCTGAATTCAACTGGCAGCTTGAGAAGGACTTTTTCAGGGACCTGGTTTCCTTGGGTACCTGTGACGAATATTTCCAATTTCCAAGTCACCAACGCAAGAAGTACCAGGTCCGACTTCCTTTGGTTCGTAAAATAATGAGTATCTTACTGTTTCAAGGACTCTTCAGTCTTGGGTATCCTAGTTAATGTGTGGCGTAAGCAGTAACTTATAAGCAAATTTGGGTTCTACAAACAACTTTTTATTGTGGGGCCTCAAAATTCCTCTGTATCACAGGGGATGTCCTGGTGACAGAAACTAGCTCACCAGGTTTTTGGCAAATTTGCGTTACTGTTCACATCTTTTGAGGAAAGGTTGCAGGGCTTTCTGGTCATGTGAAATGCTATGAACTTTAGGAGCCTCAGAAATCACCCTAAGGAGGGTCAGGTGTTGCAACCTCAAGTGCTTCTGGGAGCAGCATTAATTTATACCTTGTTCACAAGGTATGCCAATAGTTTTGAAGGGAATTATTTTTCAAGTTCTTATAAAGAGCCATGTGCTCGTATGTCTACAATTACGTGGTTGATGGCAACTGGTTGTGGGGACGTAGGGGTGAGGGGAAAACCATGATTGCTACAGAATCACTGGCCTAATTGGTATTGTTGGAGACTGCATCCAACTGGATGGAATGTGCCTCTTCTAAATGTGCATCCAGAAATGTTTCTGCGAAAAAGAATGTATCTGTGTACACAAATCTGAGGATATCCAGGCGTGTTTATCTTCTGTGACTTACATCATTTTCATCGAAGATAATCAAAAGATGTTTAGGCCTGGACAGTATTGCTCAGTGGTTGAGCATCGACCTATGAACCAGGAGGTCACAGTGTGATTCCTGGTCAGGGCACATGCCTGGCTTGTGAGCTAGATCCCCAGTAGGGCATATGCAGGAGGCAGCCAATCAGTAATTCTCATCATTTTATTTTTTTGTTGTTGATCCTCACCCAAGGATATTTTTCCATTAATCTTTTTTACAGAGAGGGAAAGACAGAGAAATGTTGATGTGAGAGACACACATCTACTGGTTGCCTTCTGCATGGGACCTGACCATCGGGAAGTAGCCTGCAACCAAGGTACATGCCCTTTACCAGAACTGAATCCAGGAACCTTTGGTCCACAGGCTGATGCGCTACCCACTGAGCTAACAGGCTAGGGTTGATTCTCATTGATGTTTCTATCTCTATTTTTTACAAAAAAAATTTGTGGACCGGCTGGCATGGTTCAGTGGTTGAGTGTCGATCTATGAACCAGGAGGTCATGGTTTGATTCCCGGTCAGAGCACATGCCCAGGTTGCAAGCTCGATCCCCAGTACGGGGCATGCGGAAGGCCACCAATCAATGATTCTCTAATCATTGATGTTTCTATCCCTTCTCCCTTCCTCTCTGAAATCAATAAAGATATATTTAAAAAATAAAATGTCAACACTTAAAAAACTTTTTCGTGT